GTATATATATTTAAGCCCAGTGATTGTTTAAGAGGGAATTTCTTCACATCTCTGAGATACAGGCTTTTCTTTAAATACTGCCCCATACCTGTTGCTAGAGAAGATATTAATGATGAAGTAAATATCTTAAAAAAGAAGTAACATTAATTAATCTAAATATTTAAAATGCATACATTTTAAAATGTATAGACATTTTTCTTACTTTTATTTTTCTATTTTCTAATTTTTCCAATGGATCAGAAGCATTAGAGTTACTGAGAACCATTCTGCTTTTATTTATTTATTTTTTTAAGTTTCGTATGGCCTCCTCCAAATCCTCTTCCTCAAATATCTTAGTAGGAGAGATGTTCTCCAGCTTGTCAGCTTGTTAGCATCTAAGCTACCACCATTGCTATGGATACTGAGGAAAATGCTAGGGAAGTGCCCCCATCTCCCGTGACCAAGATGGGGTTCGTCAGTGTTGGGGAGGGTGCGAGCGATTACCTTTCGCCTTCTCTGTCTTAAGAGTATCAGCAATGCTTTCTAGATCTGGCATCTTATTAAATAAACAATGATAGCAGTTTTCCCAGTCCTGCATCTTTTCTGAACTTTTTTTCCATCAGTTCAGCAAATTCAACTTTGTCACACTTGTCTTGCTTCCTTTTAGTCAGTTTTAAGTCCCTGGACAATAAGGACTTTATCATGTTAAAATGATATTCACTGATGATATAAGCCGTACAGAAGAACAATGTTCTTGAATTTATGGGCCATCTCTCAAATTGATAGGCGAACCTACAAAAGAAAACTGGCATTCAGTGTTCTGCTATACACATATACGGACAATTTCAAAAGTAGGGTACGCCTGTGTGTATGACTCCTACCGAACTGTGGTTCACACGTCACAAATGTGTGTGTAACAGAGACGCTGAGTTACCAGATGATTCACTACAGCAAATGGACGCAGAACTCATCCGTTACACCTTTCTAAGAAGTTCCTCGTGTCAGTGGTGGATGTGTTGGAAGCGAACTCGGAGACAGGCAGTTCTTACAGAGCTCACAGTACAGACTATGCATTGTCAAAGCTCCCGGCTCCTCTTTCTGCTCTCTATTGGTTGGAGCCTCTGCCTATTGGCTCCCGACTCTTTCCACAACTGTGCTCCTTGTCCATTTGGCTCTTCATTAATTAACTCTCATTAGCACTGTGTCTCCTATGGTGTTGGATCACGTTTTCTGTGTCTTCCCTCTGTGTCCTCTCTGTGTGCCCTGCCACTGTCACACGCTGGATGTCCATTTGCTTTCCAGTGCAGAATCAAGTACTCATTGATTCGAATTATTTTAACAGTTGCCTGATTCGTTTCCTTAATCAGTTCTGTCTATAGAGCCAGTTTTCTATCTGGAAGCCATGGTTCAATCGCTCTGAAATCCTTTAATAGTTCTCTAATTTCTTAGAAAAACAAAAACAACAACAAAAATCTCCTCACTCCTTAAAATATCTTAGCAGGCCTACTTAATTTTTTTTGCCTCTCTTTACTTCCTTACCTTTTGTATTCCTTACATCACATTCTTTAGAAATATACAGCACACCTTGCTTTGTCATATTTCATGTCTTTGCTGATTCCCTTTGCTTTTCCTGGAAAATCACTCTCACATTTCTTGCTCTGATTACCTCCCATTACAACCTTGAACCCAACTGAGGTTTTTCTCTTCTGGAAGCTTCCAGAGTTCCCCAGTGGTCTGAGTGTTGTGCCGCTAGACCTCTTTAGCAGCTGTGCATTTCTTTAATGACACTCAATGCATGGTATAGATTCTAATTTTTGCTTAAATTTAGGAGTTTTTTAGTTTAGGAATCGTGTTTGTGTAGGCTTTGTGTAGTTGAAATGTTCAAATTTTTGAGGCTGTTAATTGCATATTTCTTAAGGGAGCAAACAAAACCTCAGAATGAAAAGGCCCACTGAATGGAGGGAAAATCCACACAAAGACACATGATAGCACGTGAAATTAAAGAGTATTAAATGTGAAAAAAATACTCTATATAACACCAGAAATGAAGAGTAGATCATCTACAAAGATTAAAGAATAACACTGAAACTGATTTCACAACAGCAAAACATTGCAACTAGAGGAATAATTTTTATATAATACTGGTCCAAATCCCATATCTATTGCAAAACTAAAATGTTTTAAAAATAGAAAGTTTTGATTGGTGACTGTGGCAACACAATTTCATTTTGAAATATTGCCAAACGTGAGATGGCAGAAGTCTGTTTAATCTTCGTTAATTCCACTTAAATGAGAACATTCATATATTTTGTTGTTGAAGGATTTATTAGTGCTTTTGATTTTGGCGTAATGATCCAAATCCCAATGAAATTTCTAGTAGTACAGTATTTAAAATATATGCAATAAAAAGCCTTCTGCAGCATCCAAATTCTGAATTCAAAATAGATCTAGTCCAGGGTCTGGGATTTATCTTAGTAGTGCTGCCACCTGCCTTGCAAATGCAAGGTCCTGAGTTTGATCCCCAGTACCAAAAATATATCTATATATATAGATATATGTGTATATGAGAGAGAGAGAGAGAGAGAGTCCTGCATGTACAGAAGACATAGTCTCTGTCTTGTGTGAAAAAAAATTTGGAATGAAAATTTATAACTACAAAAATAATTTTTAGACATAAAGCATAAAGTTATTTTCTGATACTAAAGGCCTTGATAGTTTTGAAAGGGAAAGATATGCACAGTAATATTGATTGGAAATAATATCCAACAAGAAAATAATAAGGCAAGCATAGAATCCTGCAGGCAAAAATTACAGACCATGAAAACAGACTTGACTAGAAGTGCTTATGTCTTAAAAACAGGGTTCTTACAAAAGAGAAGAAAAACAGGAAATATAAACACAGGAAGATGGAAGCAAAAAGACTAGAATGCTTCATTAATGTATTTGTTTTAAAGCATACAAAACAGGTGTAAGTTTAAAAAAGAAAGACAAGGCCACGGATTTGGCTCAGTGGTTCTGTGGCCTGCCTTGCAAGCGCAAGGTCCTGAGTTCAATCCTTGGTACAAAAAAAAAAAAAAAAAAAAAAAAAAAAA